GGCGTTAGCAATATATTAGTATTACATGTATGCCGGAATAAGATCTTATTGTATATATAAAGACATTGCCATAAATCACATTACATGTACAGTAGTCACATGTGTACTAATAAAATATATCAATGTAACTTAATGTTTCACGCAATTATAAATTAAATTAGTCAGATGAATGCTCAGCATTTGTCTCTTTGTCACAGGCGAGCGAACATTTTTGTTTTATTATTGACGAAAGGTCCTATTAGGTGTACAACTTTGCTTCCGCCGTTTTCCTATAGATGGCTTTAGCGGTAAGTAGTAGTCGAAATAAATAGATCATAGACGTCATATAATAAACTTGGGCATCTGTCAACATAACCCCATAGAAACATTAGTCGATTAGTGTCTGCATCTTAAAGTTATTCTCGATTGAAAATGTCAGTTTACGAGCCAAATTCTCGTCATTTGCGGGAGATTTTAATTTTTTGCTTCAATATGAAGAAATCTGCGACTGAGGCTCATCGAATGCTCTCAAATACTTATGGTGAGGCCGCTATTAGTGAAAGAACGTGTCGTGAGTGGTTTCAACGCTTCAAGAAAAGTGATTTTGACGTCCAAGGTGCTCTGTATTTGGTGGGACCAGCTCGGCGTAGTGTATTATGAACTGTTAAAATCGACTGAAACAATCACAGGCGATCGGTATCGAACGCAATTGATGCGTTTGAGCCGAGCATTGAAAGATAAACGGCCGCAATACAACGAGAGACACGATAAAGTGATTTTGCAGCATGACAATGCTCGACCCCATGTTGCGAAAGTGGTCAAGACATACTTGGAAATGTTGAAATGGGAAGTCCTACCCCACCCGTCTCCAGACGTTGCTCCCTCTGACTATCACTTGTTTCGATCAATGGCACACGGCCTGGCTGACCAGCACTTCCGGTCTTATGAAGAAGTAAAAAATTGGATCGATTCGTGGATAGCCTCAAAAGATGACCAGTTTTTTCGACGCGGGATTCGTACGCTACCCAAAAGATGGGAGAAAGTAGTGGCCAGTGATGGACAATACTTTGAATCATAAATGTATAACCAGTTTTTTACAATAAAGCCTCGAATTTCGGAAAAAAAACGGCGGAAGCAAAGTTGTACACCTAATATATATCAACCTAACTAATTTAATTTATAATTGCGTGAAACATTAAGTTATATATTGACATATTTTATTAGTACTACTATACATGCGGCAACCTACTTTGTACAATAAGGTTGTATATCATTTCATTTCGGATAATCAACGGTTGCGATATATTCGCAGGATAATATAAATCTCATCTATTCAGTTCTGTTAATCATTGAAAATAGCTTCACAATAAATCGAAAGGTGTATGATCGTTAGAAATCAATTCAAGGTCACAATCAAAGTGTAATCATTATTATTGCGCACTAAATACCATGATAACTCCTATTTCCTTTGACATTTTTCTTTAATTTGTCTTTAATTAAAAAAAATTATATTGTTTATTTAATTAATTCTCGCTATTTTTTGTTACAAAAATTCATGTTTATTTTATCAAAACCGGTACCTGATATTTTATTCACATTATTATCCATTGAAAGCTATAATCTTTTCCCACTTTTCGGATAACAAATAGATTCCGCGGTAAAAAGAATTCAGGTTCTTTCGAGGCCATTTCAGTCGTTATCATTTTTTGATATCTTCGAAAAAACTAAAGTTCAGAAAAGTATTGTGCTACATCGATCGAAATAAATGGTAATTTAAAGGAGCAACATCTGGTGAATAGGACGGGTGCTGCAAGTAGAGTGCACATGCACATGGAGTGCATTCGGGGAGACACTATTCGCGCTAAGGACGCAAACGCTACTAACGCTGTTCGTGGAGCCAATAGTGCGATAATGTTAGCAAATTCCATGAATAACCTTGGCGTAGCGTTTAACCTGAGAGATTTAACATTTGTCGAAGTTAAATAGAGGATTCTGTTTTCAACCACCGATCAAACTTTTCTCTGTAATTCAAATTTTTAGAGTTATAAAGTATATATAACATAAATTTTTAATATTTTCATAATGAATAACAAAACGCAATCTGAATTGCAATCTTTATGATGGCTTCCCGGATAGAACTTTAAAAGGAGGCCTCTACAGACTCTAGACAGTTTTTCCCCCATTTCTGTGCCCCATTCAGATAAGTTCGATCCTGCCAGATAGGTCCTGCACAAAGATGTAACGCTCGTGCAAGTCAGAGCTCGATTTGTAAATCTGATTAGGATATGCCTATCTGGATATATCTAACTAGATCTTATCTGGATATGTCTAACTTTGTTGGCCCTGTTTGGATATGCCTAACTAGGCCCTGTCTAGACGCTTAACTGGACAAGCTATTGGCACGCCAAAATAGACCCTATCCTGGCAAACTTAATTACGTCCTTTGAATGCGTTATTAGGCCCTTTCTTACTAGGTCGTATCTTAGAATGTCTAATTAAGTTTTTTATTATTACACTTAATAAACTATGTTGGATTGTCTGACTAGGCTTTATAATAAATGTAATCTTTTGTTAGTATGTGTGCTTATCATGTTGTAATTCTGACTTTATACTAAAATACCACAATTGTATAATGGGAATCACTGTTTGAAAAAATAATATATATGACGTAAATAAATAATGTATATTTACTTATCAAATATATACATACATACTTACATATATCCACACTTGGTTTCAACATCGCAGTCATTTTGAGAATATGACTGTTTACTAGAAGCATCAGACACTAACAACCTCTGGCGGAGACACAAGATAGCGAAAAATTTTAATTGAAATTTGTTCGGATTTTGATGACGCACTCTGTATACAGGGAAGAGGAAAAAGGAGTATCTAATTAATTGGTTTTTTGTTATAACGAAACCAAGTTTTTGAAACAATGTCTATCGCTTCTGATTCGTCTGTCTGCTTTAATTTTCTATGAATTTTATGAGAACATAGTCACGAATTTTCTTTTTTTCCATTCTATAAGTAAATATATTTTTCAATAATGAGGAGAAAAAATATAAATAAGTTGTATAAACTTTATACAACTTATTTATAAATGTACTTTCACGTTAAATTAAATTGTTATTTTTTAATGCTATGTGGAAATCATCAAATTTATGTTATTGGATAGAAAAAAACTAAATTGAGTCAGAGAGGTTTGTAATTTCTAAAAGAACGGTTTGAATGTGTAATAAGTATGAAAACTGCTGTACGTGTGTGAAGTTAATATCTCAACTGTTAACTTCAATAATTAACTTCAAATTTATTTGTATCCAGCATAGGTCTACAGTTTCTGATAGGTTTTAAAAATAGTTCGAATTAACCAATAAAATCACGTTTTTCGAATTGAGATGTTAACTTCCTAATAGGATAACACCTAATAGCATCTCATCGTATTTTGAATATTTAATCACGGAGAAGTAAAAATTCGTGGAGTTCTACCGCCTAGATACGTCCTGTCAATAGTTCTGATAGTTAAACTCCATACAAAATAAGCAGTCATTTTTTTCGGCCATGTTGAAATAGCACAAATTAGCTAACCTCTCTCGGTCAACAGCGAAAATTAATTTAAGCACCTAATATTTAAATAAAAACTAGAATATTTAGAATATTACAGGATGTCTCATTTTAATATATTAAGCTTTCTCGAAGACTACAGTAGATATGGAAAAATGTTTCAAATAAAAGTTGTATTCTGAAAGTGACATAAGAAGTTACTATCGATTTTACCTTGGTAGATAGCGTCGCTAAAGTTAATGTTACATCGACTTTTTAATGAAGTCTCTTATTCTTTATACATATTCTTGTATTTTTCTTGTACCTTTTAATACATTTTCTTATATTTTAGCTTGAGAACTCTTTAAAATATTTTTTTAAATAATAAAATATTTTTTCATTAAGTACTTTTTGAGTTGTAATTGTCGTGGTGCATTCATAAATCGAAATTCGCGCGATGACATTATGACAAAATATGTTAACATTCAAAATAATACAAATATTTTTAAAAATAGTAGAGAAGAAGAGGAAGCGGTATTATATGGCGAATGCAGATTGCAATTGCCCCTTTTAAAATTTTCATTATTAGGTAGCGAATTTTAATAATTATTTATGGAATTATTTGCTCAGTAACTTCTCATTACACCTGACACTAATATATCAATACACAATAACCAACTTTTATTGTAACATTTCTACTTTCAAGTATTTCAAAACATTTCTAAAGTTCGTTTTAGCATTTAGTTATATATTTTCTCACTAATCTTAAACTTAAGAATTTTAAAATGAAGTTGGCACCGCAAATTTTGAAGTCCATTGACACTCGCAATAGTTCTATAATTCCTGATAGGTTTTATAAATAGTTCCATTGATTTAGCCATAGATATATTAAGAATAGACCGAGCGTGTTCTCTTCTTCAGTGTGAAGATGAGGTAAAAAAGGACAGAAAGCAGATATTAGACAGAAAGCAAGATATTCATCTTAATCCTTCCCCCTTCCCTACTCGTTCAGAAAGAGAAAGTGGCATCCATTGTCTGTCCTTTTCTACCTAGTCTTTACGTTTCAAACCTCACGCTCTATTCTTATTATGTCTACGGATTTAACTAAAAAAAATAATATTTGAAAATTTGAGGTGCTAACTTCCTGTAAAATTCGGAAAAATTCAACCCATAAAATCTTACAACTCTCGATGAGTTCTACAGTTTCTGATAGGTTATAACGATAGTTTCGGTCTCTAAGTATTTCTAAATAATTAAACCGGTGCGCTGGCACTGCACGTCAAGAGTAAAGTACCTCTTAACAGCTAGTTCCAGTCAATTTTTTGGCATTTTTCAATAATTCTACAATAGTTCCGACGATTTCTATAGATTTCGCTCAGAGTCCCGGTCTTTTTTTTTTCTACATAATTTCTATTGAAGACTGACCAATTTCCCTCACCCCCACTCACAATTCTCTTCTTTCTCTTCACCACTCTAACAAGTAACGTAATATAAAAGGAATGACTCGAAGAAACAGCTTAATATCAGGCTGCTCCTCGCCCTGATGAAAGAGACTGCAAGGTTCACGAAACGTTGGCATTTCAAGAATGGACCTGAACACGGAAGAAACCCGCAAAACGCATAATCTTTATAAAAAATTATATATTAGGTGTACAACTTTGCTTCCGCCGTTTTTTTTCCAAAATTTGAGGCTTTATTGTAAAAAACTGGTTATACATTTCACAACTTTCTTCCATCTTTCGGGTAGCGTACGAATCCCGCGTCGAAAAAACTGGTCATCTTTTCAGGCTATCCACGAATCGATCCAATTTTTTACTTCTTCATAAGACCGGAAGTGCTGATCAGCCGTGTGCCATTGATCGAAACAAGTGATAGTCAGAGGGAGCAACGTCTGGAGAATACGGCGGGTGGGGTAGGACTTCCCATTTCAACGTTTTCCAAGTATGTCTTGACCACTTTCGCAACATGGGGTCGAGCATTGTCATGCTGCAAAATCACTTTATCGTGTCTCTCGTTGTATTGCGGCCGTTTATCTTTCAATGCTCGGTTCAAACGCATCAATTGTGTTCGACACCGATCGCCTGTGATTGTTTCAGTCGATTTTAACAGTTCATAATACACTACGCCGAGCTGGTTCCACCAAATACAGAGCATGACCTTGGACGTCAAAATCACCGTTCTTGAAGCGTTGAAACCACTCACGACACGTTCTTTCACTAATAGCGGCCTCACCATAAGTATTTGAGAGCATTCGATGAGCCTCAGCCGCAGATTTCTTCATATTGAAGCAAAAAATTAAAATCTCCCACAAATGACGAGAATTTGGATCGTAAACTGACATTTTCAATCGAGAATAACTGTATGATGCAGACACAAATCGACTAATGTTTCTATGGGGTTATGTTGACAGATGCCCAAGTTTATTGACGTCTATGATCTATTTATTTCGACCACCACTTACTAAAGCCATCTATAGGAAAACGGCGGAAGCAAAGTTGTACACCTAATATTATAAAACGATTTTAAAAGTGAGTATCTTTTTTCATATAAAAAAATGAAAATAATTTCGTTAATATGCTTCGTATTATAAATAGCACAATAGTGTGAAGCATTCGAAATCTGACATTTTTCTACGAATTTAAAAAAAAATTACCCTCCGATTATTAGGAGCCGAGATAACAATTTTCCTTCAAAAAATCACTGTAGCTCTAGTTTTTAAGATTAAAAGTTCCGTCTGGCATGAATTTGTCAAGAAAGAATTGAATTTGCTGTTAAAAAAATCTCGAATTGTAACATGAAATTTTTAATTTAGAAAATTTTTTTTTCTTGAATTTGTATTTTTTTGATTTATTATTAAAAAATCACGTTTGAGTATGGAACGCATATCTGATTAACAAATTTAAGTCATTAGCTATATTTCTTTATTTATTATACTATAAAAACAAGATGTTAGCGTAATTGTAGCGTAATTGTTAAAGATAGAACACTAACTTTCGCAAATATAAAAGTAAATTACATGAAAAATATTTTGCATTTATATTCAACAGTTACTCTAACATTGGCAAATTATTTATTATTTGTTTACATATGTCATATTTGTATCTGTAATTAAATTCATAAAAATAATTTTATTGATAATTTTGTACATTTAATTGTCCAATTGGATACTTTTTACGGTATGTTAAATAAAGAAATATAGCTAGTGTAAATTTGTTAATCAGATATACACTCCATACTTAAATGTAATTTTTTAGTAATAAATCGAAAAAATAAAAATTCAAGAAACAAAAAACTAAAAATTTTGATTACTTTGGATTACAATTCAAGAAACATTTGGTTAAGCTATTTGTTTATATTTCATCGAGCTACCCCAGATTTTTAAAAATCAGGTTTTCACGTCAATTTATTGCTGAGAAAATATAAATTTAGCAAATTTTAACACATGAAATCAAATACGCGCGAATCGCCAAGCGAACCGATCTTCCTCACTCGACTGCGCGTCAGCTTCCCTCCAGAGTTGTTTAAAATTTTTTTTTAAACAAATATTTAAAACATGTTTTAAACATCATATTAAGTTAAACATGTTTTTTTTAAAACAAATGTTTAAAATGTTTTTTTTTAATGTGTTTTTAATATTATTTAATAGAGGAAAAGGTGATACTCCAGTTATTTTATGCGATAACTTGGTTAATAATAAATATTTAAGTTTAAAACTTGACAATTACATTCATTAAAATGTTGTTGAATCGATTCTGGATTCAAAATTACGAAATATTTATTACTTAGGACATTATTAATAAAAATGGGACAAATTGCATAATGGCTAATCGAAGAGAAACATGGATGATAATGTGGCCTTCCATAAAAATAGTCTTAAAAAATTAGTTTTGTTTACAATAGAAAACAATAGTTTGATTATAAAATTAACAAAATAGTAGAATGTATTGCAGACTATATGTATATATATATATATATATA